CCAAAATCTGAGGAATGTTTCCAAGACCTCATTAATTCTGAGACACAAAGAAAACAGCTTAAATAACAAAGCGACTGTGATTCTTGAAGGTGTTGTAAATAGCATTTATTTAAAAAAACAAACCAAAAAACGTGTTCAGCATCTTTTCTGACATCCTGTGTGCTCGCAGCAGTGATGATGGATCTGTGCAGAGTTTCAGAGCACCTCTGTCAAGACTCAGGAGTGGAGCAGAAAATAAACAAGACTTAAACTAAGACCTAACTTATCAGAGGGGTGCACTGCAAAGCTAAAATCAGTCTTCAGTTAACAGGTGATGATCATATAATCTGATCGGAGCAAATTATATTCAGAGTTTTGGTTTAAAATCTGTTGCAAGTGGCACATTTCTATTTGCAGAGCATACCATCACGTCCCATCGTAAAGCCACAGCTCTGCAAACTGTGCATGACACAGTTAGTTTCATAGCGCTGATATCCAGCTGTCCAAATAAACAGCAGCACATCGAGCATGCTGAGTTCTAATTTATTAATCCACAGCAGTGTTGCCTTCTGCTGTTTTATTTATATTACTTATACACACACACACTGTTTATCCCCTCTTTATAATATCTCAGAGTGAGATATTTGGCACTCGATCAGATTTGTGATGAAGAAGAGTAAAAAGCCACATCAAACACCTGGTTTTATGGAAGCGTGCAGAAAATCTGTGTCGACAGAGAAAACTTATAACCGCCATTATTACCGTCTTCTCTGGGATACTGAGGTTTTAATTACTGTCGAATCAGCTAACTCAACTCAATGCTGAAGCCGCTCTGTAGTGCACCCCTCTGAAGTAAACACATGTATGTTGTGTGAAACGTTGTGACACAAGAAAAAGAGTCCATCTTCACATCAAATTATTGCCCCCCCCCCACAGAAATATGCAGAGGCACTGAAATCCACTTTCCCAGTGAGGTACAGTATTCTACAACACACACAGCACTCGGCATTCACACATGTAAAACAGATCTTTCCTCACGTGTACACAAAGGTTCACTAAACTCTCCTTTGGTTGACAAATAAAAGAGTAAACAGAGCTGGGAGGGGAGGTTTGCTGATGTGCTTCTAGTTCTCATTCATTCGGACGCCGTGTGGACTGAAAGCAGCTGCAGCAGAGGTGCAACACAAGGCAAACTGGTGTTTTGCCACTCAGGAGGAAGAGGTGGTGGTGGAGGAGACACTGGAAAAGTCTGTGCTCACACTGAAAGCAACACGCCGCTTAAACTCTACAACTTTGTGTGCTTGCTGGCCAATCACACGTGTGTGTGCTTCATTAGGTGGCGACATGTGTGCAGCTGTGATGAGAA